CATCATGTAAGCTGCATAGATGAGGATGGTACATGAAAATCATGCAAATATATGCTAATAAGCTGCATGGATGAGGATGGTACATGAAAATCATGCAAATATATGCTAATTAGCTGCATGGATGTGGCGGGTACACAAAAATCATGCAAATATATGCTAATTAACTGCATGGATGGGGTGTAGACACAAAAATCATGCAAATATATGCTAATTAGCTGCATGGATGAGGAAGGTACACAAAAATGCAAATATATGCTAATTAGCTTCATGGATATAGAAGGTACACAAAAATCATGCAAATATATGCTAATAAGCTGCATAGATGAGGATGGTACGTGAAAATCATGCAAATATATGCTAATAAGCTGCATGGATGAGGATGGTACACAAATCATGCAAATATATGCTAATTAGCTGCATGGATGTGGCGGGTACACAAAAATCATGCAAATATATGCTAATTAACTGCATGGATGGGGTGTAGACACAAAAATCATGCAAATATATGCTAATTAGCTGCATGGATGAGGATGGTACACAAAAATGCAAATATATGCTAATTAGCTTCATGGATATAGAAGGTACACAAAAATCATGCAAATATATGCTAATAAGCTGCATAGATGAGGATGGTACATGAAAATCATGCAAATATATGCTAATAAGCTGCATGGATGAGGATGGTACATGGAAATCATGCAATTATATGCTAATTAACTGCATGGATGTGGATGGTACACAAATCATGCAAATGTGCTAATTAGCTGCATGGATTTGGTTGGTACATGAAATTCATGCAAATGTATGCTAATTAGCTGCATGGATTTGGTTGGTATGTGAAAATGAAAATCATGCAAATATATGCTAATTAACTGCATGGATGGGGTGGATACACAAAAATCATGCAAATATATGCTTCTTAGCTGCATGGGTATGAAGTTACCCCAGAGGTCAAATAGAGGTCACTGGGTCAAATGGAGAATAGGGCCGCCCAGAGAATAATATGGATATGGAGGTACACAGAAATCATTCAAATATATGCTAATTAGATTGATGGATTTGGTAGATACACAAAAATCATGCAAATATAAGCTAATTAGCTGTATGGATAAGGATGGTACATGAAAATCTTGCAAATATATGTTAATTAGCTGCATGGATATAGAAGGTACATGAAAATCATGCAAATGTATGCTAATTAGCTGCATGGATTTGGTTGGTACATGAAAATCATGCAAATATATGCTAATTAGATTGATGGATTTGGTAGATGCACACAAATCATGCACATATAAGCTAATTAGCTGTATGGATAAGGATGGTACATGAAAGTCTTGCAAATATATGTTAATTAGATGTATGGATATAGAAGGTACATACAAATTCTGCAAATATGTGCTAATTAGCTGCATGGATATGGAAGGTACACAAAAATTCGATTCAAAATGGCAGACTGGCAGCCATCTTTTTTTTTGAAAATGTTGTATTTTGGACATGCTTTGTCAGTTTTCATTTACACTTGGTACATAGATTATACACGTTAGGATACATGTCCATAACAATTTCTTTCGCAATTGGATCAACGATGGCCGACTGGCAGGCATCTTGTTTTGGTTTTTTTAAATGTGGTATCTTGCACATGCTTTGTCAGTATTCTTTCAAATTTGGCGCATACTTTATACATGTAAGGATACATGTCCATGTCACTTTGTTTCATAATCAGATTAATGATGGCCGAATAATGGCTGTTTTTATTTGTGGCCATATAATATCTCTGTCACCCATGTATCATTTTCATTTTCATTGATATTTAGCATGTCATAAATGGATACATGTCCATGTCAATTCAATTTGCAATTTGAAGAAATATGGCAGACTGGTGGCCATCTTGTTTGTTTAAAATGTGATAACTTGGACATGCTTTCACTTGTGATCTATATTTTCTTTGCCTTGTCTTAAACCGGAGGGGTAGTCACGCAACACATGTTCGAATTTATGTAAATAAACTTTCTGTTGTATACATCACTTGGGACTCAAGTTTCAAGGACAATCCCTCCACTTTAATATGACGAGCACAAAGAGACCTTTCAAAAATTTAACAGGGACTGTGTCATTTTCAATGACTTGTTTAGTTTGAAGCCTCCCATCAAGAGAAAGTTCACATTCAGTTTGTTCTGTTTGTTGAATTAATTTGCATATTAAAGAACTTATTGTTAGTGTACATAAGAAACTCCTATGTATATTGTCTCGCTTATTTACTCTTAACTATGTTATCATTTAAGAATATATTTTTACAGGCAACTCCTATGTAGTTGGCCTGCCATAATAACTTTTTAATTTGTTACAAGTCCAGCAAGACTGATTGGCCCACTACCCAACTTTCCAACTTATTACAAGCACCAGCCTAATTGGTAGCATATACATCTTTCCAACTTATTACAGCCATATCATGACTTATGAAAAAAATAAAACAATACTATTTAAAACATTGTTTTTTTAGAAAGTTACTTTTATTTTATCAGAACACTCAAGAATGTTATGCAGCTATGGATTATAAGAAGATATATGCAATAGTTCTACATGTTGACACTAGTAGTAATTACTCGCAGATAAAAGGTATGTCATCATTAACCCTATTATTTTTCCCACCAAAATTTGTATGTATTTATCATAAAAACTCAAGTGCACGAATTAATAACATACAAATACAAATTTGTCTTGTGTGTGAATAAACATTTTGGAACATTCAATGAATTATGATTCATTTTTTTTGCTCCATTGAAAATATACTAGGGGATTGTCTGTTGTCGTCCTTCTGTCTGTCATCCATCAACAATTAGTTTTCTGACTTCATCTCAAAAAATACTTTCATAACATGAGGTACCTTAACTGGGTGGACCTCTGTTAGATTTGTTCATTGGTGATGCTATCTTATTTTGGTGAAAAAAACGATTTTTCTGACTTTTTCTCGAAAACTACCTCCTCAATTGCTTTGATACCTTGTATGTAACATACTTGCCCAGTTGCCCAGAGGCCTCAACATGAAAAATCTGTGAAAGTATGCTTGAGGACCACCTCAGAAAAGATGAAGAGTTTACTACATCATCTACCAAAAAATCCGTGGAAATAATAAATTTCATTTCTTACTCGTTAGGCTTAATTACAGCCCCAAAAAGGCCTTGCCTAAGGGGTCACCCCCAGGGTGATCACGCACCCGAGGCCTGTAGTTTCTTAATTAGTCCCCGTTCGGACGAAGTCCTAAAACAAGGACTTATAATTCAATTGATTGATGATTGATTCCCGTCCGTCCGTTCGTGCGTACATGCGTCCGTCCGGAGTCATATCTCAGAATCCCTTTGACCGATTCCGTTATTATTCGGATTCCATTATTTGCATGTGCCTAGTACATTATGTGGGACATATGCACATGCAGTGGTTTAGCGATTCAATTCAAAAAGGCCGACTGGCAGCCATCTTGTTTTTTGAAAATGTTGTATTTTGGAAATGCTTTGTCAGTTTTCATTCAAACTTGGTACATAGATTATACATGTTAGGATACATGTCCATGACGATTTATTTCACAATTGGATCAAAGATGGTCGACTGGCAGCCATCTTGTTTTTTGAAAATGTTGTATTTTGGACATGCTTTGTCAGTTTTCATTCAAATTTAGTACATAGATCATACATATTAGGATACACGTCCCCGGCCGTTCGTGAGTTCCTGAGTCTGTCCGTCCGTGCGTCAGTCTGTCCAGAGTCATATTTCAGAATCCTGTGAACCGATTCTGTTCATTATTTGCATGTGCCTAGTACCTTATGTGGGACATATGCACATGCAGTGGTTTAGCGATTCGATTCAAAATGGCCGACTGGCAGCCATCTTGTTTTTTGAAAATGTTTTGGACATGTTTTGTCAGTTGTCATTCAAACTTGGTACATAGATTATACATGTTAGGATACATGTCCATGACGATTTATTTCACAATTGGATCAAAGATGGTCGACTGGCAGCCATCTTGTTTTTTGAAAATGTTGTATTTTGGACATGCTTTGTCAGTTTTCATTCAAATTTAGTACATAGATCATACATATTAGCATACACGTCCCCGGCCGTTCGTGAGTTCCTGAGTCTGTCCGTCCGTGCGTCAGTCTGTCCAGAGTCATATTTCAGAATCCTGTGAACCGATTCTGTTCATTATTTGCATGTGCCTAGTACCTTATGTGGGACATATGCACATGCAGTGGTTTAGCGATTCGATTCAAAATGGCCGACTGGCAGCCATCTTGTTTTTTGAAAATGTTTTGGACATGTTTTGTCAGTTGTCATTCAAACTTGGTACATAGATTATACATGTTAGGATACATGTCCATGACGATTTATTTCGCAATTGGATCAAAGATGGTCGACTGGCAGGCATTTTGTTTTTGTTTTTTTATGCGGTATCTTGGACGTGCTCTGTCAGTTTTCATTCAAATATGGCACATACATGTTAGGATGCATGTCCATGACAATTTGTTTCAAAATCTGGTCAAGGATTGCCGATTGATAGCCATCTGACTTTTTGGCCTTACTACTATATTTTCCACAATTTATATACCATTTTCATTTGTATTTGCCACATACATTATACATATCAGTGTGTTTCATAATCAGATCAATGATGGCCGAATAAGTTTTTATTGTTGGCCATAATGCTACTACACGGAACACGTGTTTTGATGTAAATTAACAATCTGTTGTATACGCCACTTGGAACTCAAGTTTCAAGGACACGCTCGCGACAACCCTTCCGCTTTAATATGACGAGCACAAAGAGAACCTTCAAAAATTTAACGGGGACTGTGTCATTTTCAATGACTTGTTCTCTTTTGTTTCTGGTGCGTGTGGTTCAGGTTTTTTTTCTCTGCAAGCGTGTACTGGACAAAAGAGGCAGATTACAGTTTGTTCTTGTGGCTTTCCTAGAAATCTAGTGTCTGGTGATCGACTCTGACTCCTGTCATCACAGTAAGGCCTTTCCATTATTAGAGCCCTAGTTTTGACTGTATTTGTTGAATTGCCAGCTACGTTTGAATTCGCTTTGATTCAATTTTTGGCATGGTGAATTTACTCATTTTTTTCATGTTTTCATTTCCTGTCCTTTCTTCAATCGCATCATGCTTTATTCATTAAAAAGCCTAAGATCGTGCCAACTAAATTCGGAACATAAGATATGTTCATCTTGTCACTTAGAGCTGCCAGTTTGGGACCCAAAACATACAGTCGCAAACAGGACTCGAGATTTTGCCTCGACGGAATTTGTCGTCATTGGCATTTTTGGTCGTGTTAGCACTTTGAGGTGGGGTTGAAGCTGAGGGCAAGCGATCACAAAAAGCTGGTATGCATTGCTATAAAAGGGAAATTCCACAGCCGAAGCTATTGATGTGTCTGTTTTCAATGAGTAAAAAAATCTCTCCCTTTTCTCTTGGTAGCAAGACAAGGCTTGCCTCCTATCACGGATTGAGGGAGATGGAGAGTGTCCACGGTCGGACTCCCTGCTCAATGTAGTGGGGTCGACGACTGAGGCAAGACCTTCACAGCCGTTCATCATTAAGGGGAAGGAGGCATCGGTCGCTACCATTGAAGCATCGACGGCGTGACTTTCTCCCAATGTGAAGTCAGTTTCTCTGTGCGATATTTACCGTGGCGGGCATGTTCCGACAAAATCGGTGGAATGCAGTTGCCAGTCACCACGGATACCAACATCGGTATACAGCGTATTCCTGCTTGGGCACTGACATCGATGCCAATACCGAGGTGGAATTGGTACAGCCTTCAGGGGCTGAACTGGTCCAATCCACCAAGACTTCATTGGTACCAACGCAGTTGCTTGCTTTAAAGGGGCTTCTCCCATGGTGATGAGATGGCTTGGAAGGCCTGGATGTTAAATCTGGCCTCCAAAGTGAACTCCCTCCTGCAGTCGCGGGGTACGACGCAGGAGGACCGAGGGGATCAGAGTCAGGTGGGAGGGGGACGGGTCGTACTGCTGCCTGTCCCCCCTCCGCCAGGACTCGGGTCCCATCTGCTCTTTGATCTCTCCTTAAGATGGTCAGGGGGCACAACTCACATAAAGTGGGAACGAGAAAATTCACTTCTCCTTTGGAGGAGGACCCCTCTCTGGACGGGGGCGTCCTCTCTGGACGGGGCGCCCTACTCGCCCTCTGCCATTTCCCCCCAGGCACGGTCAGAGCAGGCTTTGTTACCTTTGTTTCACCAGTCTGCAGAGTGCCCATACTTGTTACTCTGCGTGGGGGGCTCCAGTGTTGGTACCTCTGTGCAGGGTGGTATGCCATCACTTCCCGAGAGTGGGGGTGCCTTGTTGTCTCACACCCCTTCTTTTTTGGAACAAGCACAGGCTACCCAGCCAACCGGAGCCCAGTGCTTGGCACGAGACTTTGTTTTCATGTGGGTCGGTGGTGATCCCACCTCTCCGAATGGGGGAGTTGCCTTTGAACATTTTTGGTTTCATAGGCGCTCCCCTCTTCCACTGCCGACGTGGAGACCATGCCTCTGGGCACCTTCTGTGCCAGAGGGTGATGGAGGGGTGCTTGTACTCTTAGGGAGACAAGGATGTGAAGACTGATCTTTGATTGGGTTGGTCCTGTCCCATGCCTCCCGTTGGGGATGATGCCCCATCGGGGCTACGCAAACCCTCAACGGGTCCCTGATTTGGGTTACTCGTGTGGTGCCACAGCCTTCTTAATGGGTTCCCCGCTCGATCCCAATACTAATGTCTTTGTAGAATGGGTCTCCTTGGTTAGAGCGTCAGCTCACCCTTTTAAGTTCTGGCCACCTGAGTGCTAGACAACGAACCACGATCCTTGGGCAGATGGACCAGTTTTGACTGCGCAGGGAGTCACTATGTGCGACATCCTGCAATTCCATACTGCCCTCTTGGCAGGAGCGGTTTTTGTTGAGCGGGAGGCAGTACTGAGTCAGTGCACCTACCCTACTCCAGTGAGAGACGAGTTTGATGGATGGTGGTACTACTCAGATTCCCCCTTCCATAGTCATTGGGCTCAGCCTCCCTGTCTTCGTCCTCCTAAGCTGGAGTTTGGGGAGCTCTAGCTCCAAACCCCCATACGCTCCTCCCCATCGGATCGCGCCTCAAGCAGCACACACCAGCTTGGCACATGAGTGCTACTGACCTCTGGACACTCGCAGTAGAGTTTCGGTGGTATCAAACTCCTCTATCGTCCTCTGACTCCTCATCTCCCCTCTGGTCTTTTACCGAGGGACGAGGTCAATTCTGAGTAGCCAGCCTTCTGGAGACAAGGTGGTACACCTAGTGGAAAACCCCATTTAAAGGGCTCTATTCCCACATCTTCAAGAGGTTGGGGGTGATGGCTTCCTGTCCTAGACCTCAGGCAGCTGAACGATTTGTGGAGCCCAATCGCTTTTGGATGGAAACACCTATTTCCGTACTTCTGTCAGTGCACTCGGGCGATTCGCTGGCGTCGCTGGAGTTGAGCGATGCATACTTCCACATCCTCATTCACCACTGTTGCAGCCGGTATCTCAGATTCCCTTTAGTGGGCAAGTTTATGAGTATACCGTCCTCTCTTTTGGTTTGTGCA